AGGGAGGGAGGGAGGAAGGAAGGAAGGGAGACCCCCTACCACAGCTTCCTTATCTGAACAAAGAAACACAGTCCTTACTTCTTGGACTAGCAACAAAGATTAAATACAATCATGCATGAAAGTTCCTTAACACCACATCCATCTGGGGCAGGGATTAAAAACAAAATGCCAACTGCAACAGGAAAACTGTCAAGAACAGTGTGACAGTGGTAGTCACTTAACATTAATCAGCAATCCACACATTAACCCTGGGTAGAAAAAAAGAGATACACCATTTGTGCCCATGAATAGCTTGGACTTTTGAGGCAAAGTTTGGGAAATATTTTTGTAGGAATTTGCAAGGGTGATGTAAAGAAGTCCCCTGTGCTCCTCCTATTTCCCTTGACAGCTCCAGCCTATTATTGCAGTCCAAGCTCAGCTGTTCTGTTACATAGCAAAGAATAAAACTTCGGACAAAGGAGGAGGTTAAGGAAGGTGTTTATTGGAAATATAAGGAGACAGAAAGTCCCAGGCAGAGAGGTCCCGAAATGGGGTTCCAGAGTGAGCTCTTTGTCTAGGCTCTTGTATGGATAAGCAGAGCATGGGGATCTGCTCAATGTCCTGTGGTCACTGTCATAGGTAGCTTCTTGGATTTAAAGTTACCAATTGGGGCTCAGGCTTTTTAATGCAGCGTTCAGAAGAAAAGCCAGTTACTCAGTATTCTTGGAAACCTGACCATCGGATGCAGAAATAGGTGGTTCATTTGGGGCATTCCATCCCACTTAAAGGATTTCTTTCCCAGAGGCAGAGTCTTCATTTTCTGGCCTTATTTTAACACTTACCATTTTCCCATTTGCTTTTACATGTCTGAGTTTAGCTATCTCTATGGTTTGAGTTAGTGCCTAACCTGGTGTACAAGCTGGTTTCTTTTTAAAGCTGCTCATCTTGGGCCCTGTCCCTTGTTAGCTGTCTACTTATAAGCTAAATAGCTAAATGCTCTTGTACATTATAGACTTATAGAAAAGTATCACAACCAAGAAGTCAGCCTTAGGTTATGTGCTGCTCAGCTCCCCATTATTGAACACCCAACATGCACAACCTGGAGGAGGAAAGGTTTATTTAGCTTATGGTTTTTGTCACAGTCAATGGTTGGCTGGCTCTGAGGCAGAAACAGCACCGCAGACCTACGTGAGGGAGGAAGCTACTTGATCCATGGCAGCCAGGAAGCACAGAGAGGATGAAGAGCCATAGAGGAAGGGGCTAGGGGCCAGGCATGGTCTCCAAAGTCACATCTTGTGACCCACCCAGACACACCTGGAAGTGTGCTTTACCAATCTCCTAGGTGTCTCTCCAGCCAAGAGAGTTGAGAATCAAGATTAATCACAGGGCTGGGGATTTAGCTCAGTGGTGTCACCATTTGCCTCACAAGTGCAAGGTCCCGAGTTTGATCCCAGGTACCAAAAAAAAAGATTAATCATCACAGTCAGTGTGTGTGTGTGTGTGTGTGTGTGTGTGTGTGTGTGTGTGTAAGAGAGACAAACAAAGTGGTTGTGTGTGTGTGTGTGTGTGTAAGAGAGACAAACAAGAAGTACTTGACTCTCATTTTTCTTATGCAGGCTGGGGCGGGTGGTTCAGCTGGTACTTGTCAAACCCCTCTACCTCACCCTCCCTTGCTCCCCCTCTCACCCCAGTGGACTGGAACCATTTTCTTCAGTGCCCTCCCTGGCTTCAAGCCTCGATTCTGCCTGTTCTCTACTCTAACAGGAGTGCAGAAAGGCAGGCAGCATGGTGTCCCATTTCAGACTCTGCTGCTGCCCTTTTTGAAGACGGGAGGGATGCCCTAGAGTGGCTAAAACCAAGAAAGGGGGGACCTGCACCCCTTATTTGTATAGCCACCATTCATAGCAAGCTTTCACCCCTGCTTTTCACTAAACCCAGGCCTGCAGCTGCTATATGCATCACTCCCTCCCCCAGACACTTTTTGGGTTAGTCTAGGAGGATTCCCTTTGTGTACTGACCCTGTGCTGCAGCACAGCCATGTTAATATAAAGACTTGCTTTGATGGTCCAGGAAACCTGCTCATGATTTATTTCTTTGCTAGTGTGGGCTTCAAAAGTCCTATAAATCTACTTGAGGGTTTTATCCTGAGTAGTGTGAACAGACCAGTTGTTTCCAAAGGAAGATGAATAAACACTTAAGAGCTGCTAACACCAAAGATCTCCAGAGACCAGCACCCAATGAAGACAAGTTGCAGTGACCAGAACCCAGTAGATTCGACCTACGGTGTGCAGCAGCTGGCTGTGCCAACTGTTGGCATCCAGCATTATCCAGTGTCATCTGGTGACATCAGGACTGCTGCCAGAGCTGCGCTTTGCCAATTCACAAATTCCATCTGAATCAAGCAAAAGAATCCAAGACTGATGGGCAACACACCCACTCTTAGATGCACATGCACAGACAACACACATAGACTGAGGGCAAGAAGACAAACACAGAGACTCTCCCCCAGGAGCACATCACACTCCACACTCATCTGGACACTGGAATCAACCTGACTGCCTCAGTGACTCCTCCCCTGCACCGCACAGGTAAAAGCTGTCTTTCCACCAGGCTGCTGGGATGAAGGCTCAGGTGCAGGAGGTATGCAGGGCCATAGGCCCAGCCTTGTACGGCAATGTCACCAGCCCTACATCTCCCCAGCACCCCGCCCCAGGCTCTCTGGCAAACTCAGGGTCTTGTGGGTTATACACTCTGGAGGTGCCCAGGACTTGGGTGGTGGGAGGTGGCCTGGGACTGGGGAGGATGGCAAGGGTCTGTGGTGCACAAGCTGCCTCTCCCCAGCTACACCCAAGCCCCAGGGTGGCCTGGCTGCACCTTCTCACCTCATCTCTGAAGTCACAGGAGGAATGATCCCCTGGGACCGTGAGAATGCAGCTGCTCAGCAACCCTCTGTGGAATAAGATTGCCCAGGCAGGCTGGCATGCGGGGGCCACCACACTGAAGAAGACCCCCCAACAGAGGGTCTTGGGGGTCCAATCCATGCAAAACACTGGGCCCTTGCTGAACTATGCTTTAGCTCTGGAGTCTGGAGTCCATGTGTTGGCATGTGCTGGGCAGAGGTGTCCACACCTCCAACCCCCAGCAAAGACCTAGGCCCAGAGTCTCTGGCCTGCATCCCCTCCAGATGGTGCAACCTCAGTGGTGTCAAAGATTGATAGAGGACCAGGCTCTCCTGGCGCCTGCCCTGGGAGAGGACTTCTATACACCACACTTCCTGTTCCTGGCTCTGCCACTCTCAGCACTGAAGTCACCTGTGCCCTAGAGCCTGTGTGACCTCTAGAGAATTTTTTGCCTTGGCTTGGTTTGGGGACCCCAGGCACATTTGCCGTCATATGTGTGGGTCACAGCACTGTGTGTGTGGACAGCACACAGGGCTTTCCTGAGTGGGCAAACATCAGCATGTGCCTGTATCCAGAAAAGCCTAGAGTCCAGTGACAGACAGACAGGGGCCCCAAGGGGTTGCACCCCCACCATTGAAGTGCCATACGTGTGAGGTGGGAGTGTGTGTGTGTGTGTGTGTGTGTGTGTGTATGTGTGTGCACATGCATAGGGAGAGTGAGCATAGCAGTGGGAGTATGAGAGTACGGGGATGTGGGGTGCATCTGTGCAGTAAGGGTATCCCTGGTGTGGGTATTGTGGCACATCTGGGTTGTAAGGGTAAGAGCAATGTGTGTGCATGTGAGTACATGTGCATATGGGGACATGTGCATGTGCATTGAGACCCTGGCAAGGGACATGGTCTTGTAGAACTTTATCACTGCCGGTGCCTGGCACAGCCATTTGAGGTCCCCCGGGGTCCCTGATCACTCAGCCCTCCAGGCAGGAGTTGTTCCAGAGCTGGAAATAGTTTATCCAGGGTACCGTGTAGATCAGTGACTCACAGACCAGGCTCTGAGGAAGGGAAGGAAAGCAGGCCCTGAGTTTGGGGCAGGAGACACCTTTCCAAGGCAAGGCCACCCATGCCACTTGTAGGGAACGGAGGCAGGGCTCAGGGATGGCAGCTAGTGGATCAACCCTGTCCCTCCCCACCCCTGCACCCACTGAGGTGGGGCCCCCAAGGATCAAGGAAGGCAGAGAGGGAGGGCAAAACTCGGAAGGTGGGAGGAAGGGGACTACAGATAGATCATCAGCCCTGGGAGTGGAGCACAAGGCCAGGCAAAGCCCTGGAGAAGGAAGGGCAGCTATGCCCAGGGAAGGAGCAGGGAGCCAGGTGACCAGGCAGGGGTGAGGTTGCCCCCCTGCCATGCCCTTTAGGAGCCTGCAGCCCAGTCTTGCTGCAGCAAGAAAAGCAGTCATCCAGGAGTGTGGTTCCAATGCCCGCTCTCCCAGGGCCCCTCAGGTGACCCCAGCAGCACCTTCCTCAGCTTCTTGCCCTGCAGGGGGCAGGAAGCACTACTTGGGGCTGGGATGGTCCTCTTGCATGTGGTCCTGCCAATCCTCACAGTGACCAGGTACTCCACACCTGTTGTCAACTGCAGGGAGAAGAAAAGTGTTATGCTATAGTTGCCAGCCTCCCAAGAGGAGCCAAGACAGACTGAACCAATGCCCCAACTACTTCCCTCTCTGCCAGTGGGGGTGGTGGGATGGACTCTGGCAGCCAAGGCTGTGCACTCTGGACTGGCTTTGCCTGGGCAGACACAGGTGGCTTCTCACCCTTCTCCATTCTTGCCAAGGACAAGGAAGTGGCCTGGCAACCACCCCAGGGGACACAGGGTCCTCGCAATCTACTCTCCTGCTCACCTCCTACCAATCTGAAAGGATCACACTCATGCCACTTACTGACTCTGACCCTGAGCAAGTTACCTGCAAGCCTCAGTTTCCCTGTTCAGTCCAAATGATCACTGGGCCTGTGCGAGGCATTGTTGTGTGGGCTGAGGGGCATGTGCATTTCACTTCATGCATAAAAATGTATAAGTTATTTAGTGTTTTAGCAATGTCTAGAATATTACTCTGGAGCAGATATGGGTTAGGGATGCTGCAGGGAGAAGACAGACTCGTGTCCTCCTAGGTGTGCAGGAAAAGAAGAGGGTGTGGTGAACACCAGCAGCTCCAGACCTTGCCTGTGCTGGGCTATGTCTCCTTCCTACTCCTTGTCTAGGGAGCAAGGTCAGAAAGAGCAGCCACTGACCAGAGCGAGCCTCTATAGGCAGTGCAATGAATACTGTCTTGGGGACAGAGCTGGGCCATTCAGGTAAGTGACTGGATAAGGAGCTCTGCATCAGGGCAGCCCCTGGAGCCCCCTGCCCCTGCCCAAATGCCAGTGATCAATGACTGAACTCGGTCCTCTCTGGGGTGGGTGGTGGCATGGTGCCCACCCTGGTCCTGGAGGAGACACCCTGGAAATTCAGGGACAGCCCCAGGGGAATTGGCAGTGCCAGGACCCAGATCCAGCACCAACCAGAAGCCCCAACACTGCTGTCCTCCAGGGCAGCCCCAACCCCCAACATACACCCTGATTCTTGAGGGGATGAGCCTGGCCCTGTCATGCCCGCTGCCTGTTTCTGTGTAGGGGAGAGAGCTAAGACTTTGGCCACATGTCCAACTGACACACCAGGGTGCGAGGTGCTGTCCTGTTCGTTACTAGACCTGATTGTTAGGTGAGAGTAGGAATGACTCTAACAAAGAAAATGCTGAAGCAAATAATCTTCATGAGTTCTGCTAGCCAACACTGCTGGGCTGAGCTCTTTCTTCTTATTCTGTTGCACTTGGCAGGTGAGGAAACTCCAGCCCCCAGAGTGCGGGTGACACTTGCTCTCAAGGTCCCCCAACCAGAAAGAGCTGGGCATCTGACCCCGGGGCCTGGGCCTGGGCCTGAGAACCCCCCAACCACCTTGCAACACCTGCCGTGAGTGTCCACATTGAATACTTGCAGTGGGTCTGGGTGTGGAGGGCTGCCCCGGAACAGGCCCTCTTTGTCTGCCTATCATTGCGGTGGCAGCAGGAGTTTGCTGGGAAACCACTTTCCTGTTTAGCTGTTTCTGAGGTTGGGTGATTTCACAGGCAGCCTCCTTGGAGTCTGCACAACCCTGGGAGCCCATCCAGGAGAGCACATCAAGGAGAACACCGCCCCCTGGCGGTAAAAGTACAGAAAGGCGACCTGGGGCGAGGCAACGGACTCCGACGCCTGGACAGAACGTGTTACCAGCCCTGCCCACCAGACCCATGCCCTCCCCTCTTCCTAATGTCTCCTCTTCCAGCTCCTGTTCTTCTCTCTTTGGTCTTTGCCTGTTGTCTGCCCAAACCAGATGTGACCTTGCACTGTCCTAAGTCATGTTCTTCATTATCTGACCTTGAGGGAAGGAGACTGGGCCAACAAGAGCAATTTCCAGATAGCTTTTCCTTTCTCTATTACCCTCAATGGATATATTGCAGAGAAATGATGTATGAAACAAAAGAGGTAATCTGGCTGAAATCTGTCCCTCACTCCCTACCCCAAACCTCCCCTCAAAGACTCTCTAATCCAGGTGTCTGCAGAACACAGAGACCCAGTCTGGGAGTTGACAACCCTAAACGATGGGAAAACGTTGCTGGAAAGGGAAACCCATGGACCTTCAGAGAAAGCAAAGCATCCAAGGGTGCCTGGACCCAGGTGAGACCTGGCATCAGAATGGTAGGCAGCTCTCCACATGGGGCTGCAGTGGGGAACTGGGGAAGTCCGCTTTTGACTAGGAAGTCAGGCCAGCATGCAGGTGCAGCTACGGTGGCTCTGGGCCTGAACAGCAACTCTCTACGTGCCCCCTCCATGTGAAGTTGCGCCCTGCCCCTCGCTACCCTGTGTGAAGTCACCATTAGCTGGCTCTCTAAGGAACCCCCTGAGTTAAAGATGGCAGGAGCATGGGCCATGCCAACCCAGGAGAACTAAGGCACTGACCTGTACCCGAGTACGGATGAGCTTCTGGACCTGAAATAAGAAGGTGTCATTGCTGGCATTGTTGAAGGACTGGATGAAGAAGTCCAGAGTTGAATTCATGTTTTCCTTGCTCATGGGCTTCTCCTCAAAGCCTGGCCATTCCTGGTTGTAGTTTTGCGTGACTGCCAGGACCAGGGCCAGCAGCAGCAGCCAGAGGCTCCTCCCATCTCTGACCTCCATCTCTGCAGCCTCAAAGACTTCTTGCCCAATGACTCAGGCTGTCCTGGGAGGTGGCGTCTGTGCCCAATCAGAGACCCAGGCCCAGGCCAGTCCTTTCAGAGTCCAGTGCAGACCCCTAGGGAGCCTCTCTGCATGGCCATGGCCACGATCCCAACTGCCACCCACTTAGACACCGTAATGTTCTTCCATGGCCCAGCAAGGGGCATCTCTAACACCTGCCTGGGTACACAAGCCCTCACTTGCCTGCTGCCTAGCAGGGAAGGAAGCTGCAGAACAGTCAGACCATGCTGTGAGAGTAGCTGCTGGGTGGACAGAGCAGTGCCATTCATAGAAAGGGGTAGGGGCTGGAGATATAGCTCAGTAGCCCTGTGACTGCCTGGCAAGTGCAAGGTCCTGAGCTCAATCCCGGGGACCAAGACAAACAAACAACAACAACAAAAGAATGAACATAGAAAGGGACAAAGGCTTCCGGAGAAGGTGTATGTGAGCTAATCTGGAAGGACTCAGCAGTGCAGGACACAGCTGGGTGGGACTGCTTCACTAAGCCCTCGGCTGTCTCGTGGCTTCCCCTATGACAGGGTCCCCTGCACTCACCTGCCCCTTTGCCTGCACAGGAATCTGCCTACTGGATCCCACTGCACTGCAGGCAGCCCCACTTCCTTGTTGTGACCTAGTGAGCTTTGTGAGATAATCCTAGCCACCTGTGACAGAGGGGTGGGGCTGAAGCTTAGGCAGAAATTCACCCTGCAGACCCTGGAGATGGGTAGCCACAAGAGCACCCTGTGTGCAAAATACTTTCCAAGGTGTCATCTTGCTCCACAAAGAGCAGCGTGGGCTCCAATTGAATGAGAGGGAAACTGGAAACCTGTTAATGTCACACAAAGGTGACATCCCCTTCCCACCATGTGTTCATAAGCGAGGACACCAGAGCTGCTTCAGAAAGTGGCAGGGACCATGGGCTGAGTGTGTTTGATGTGAGAGGGAGGGATTCATAGCAATGCATCTTTACTGGAATAAGTTGGCTTTTTGTTTTGTTTGGGGGGGGTTGGTACCAGGGATCAAACTCAGGACCTTGTGCTTTTGAGGCAGGCAGTGGAAGCGCTGAGCTAAATTCCTGGCTAGAATAAGTTTTTTAATTTACTGATATTTCCACACATTTACACCAACATCACATCAGGGCTCCTGTGCATTTACGTTGCATCAGTCATTGTAGGGGAAGGGGAGCGTCTGGAGGGAGGATCGAGGGAGTGCCCTGGAGCTTCGCTCTGCTCCCTGAGAACTGACCCCTTGTCTGTCCATTGTCACTGTGTCCATTCTAAGGATGATTGGCATGCTGTCACCCGTGAGCCCTACATCTACAAGCCAACCACCTGCAGACAGAAAATATTTCAAAAAAAAAAAGGTTGTGTGTTTGCTGAACACCCAGAGACTCTTTCGTAAGCATTCCCTAAGCAACATGAAAGGACAACTGTTTACCCAGCATTGTGAGGGAGAGGAGTGATTCAGGTCTGGGGAGGACTGTGTAGGCACCACGCAGTGCCACGCCATTCCTGTAAGGGACCTGAGCACCTGCGGTGGGTGTCAGCAGGTGACTGAGATGTCACTGGAAGCCAGTTTCACAGACACCGAGGGACAACTGTACCCTGCAGGTAAGGGAGCCGTGGCAGCAAGAAGAGGGTCACAGCATCACTGATCCTTGTCCTAAGAGTACACTGGCATCTAGGATCTTCTTTTCACCCTGGGGAAACAAATGAGTCCCTACAAACAAGGCTGACTTCAGTTGGTTTCTTGTCTTGTCTTTTCTCTTTTTGTGGGGTGGGGGAGTTGTTGATCGAGACAGAGTTTCTGTATGTAGCCCAGGCTGGCCTTGAACTCACAGTGATTCTCCTGCCTCAGCTTCTCAAGTACTGGGATTACAGGTGTGCACCACCACACTCATCCTCAGTTTTCTTGACTTCACCCTCTCTTTAATCATTTCATTATCTTGCCCAAATACTCCTGCTCTCCACTGGCCACTGACCTGGAGATAACCCAAGCAAGAAGCCAATCTGTTCAAGACCCACCAATGCCAGGTACCATCCTGGATGTCCCTGCTGGAACAGGCAGCAGCAGGTAACCTGCTGGAGCTCTCCTTGGTGTGGGCTGGCCCTCCTCCTGGGCCTGCTGCAGAGGGTGCAGCCAGCCTTGGCTGAATGTGCCCTGTGGTCCCAAGGAGCAGGCTGCAGCCACAGCACAGAAACCAGGGCCACAGGTGACACAGCGGCTCAGGCTGCATGGCCAGAGAGCTTGGACTGAGGAAGCCAAGATGCCACCAGCCAGAGAGGCAGAGCAGCCTCACGGCCTGCTTGAGCTTCCCTGGGGGATCCAAGGTGGACTCGGCCCAGGGGTGCAGGGCAGCCATCCTGCTCATCCACTATGCAGAAAGGGCCCCAGCTCCTGGACAGCTACGCCAGCTAAGGAGCCACCTGGTCTCATCTTTCCTTTTCCTTTTTTATTGAGAAAATAACACAAAATAATTGTGCGTGTCTCGGGGCACAGTGTGATATTTTGATACAATCTGTAATATTCATATCAGAGCATTTAGTATTTACCTCAGATTTATCATTTGAGATAAATGTATCGGCAACCTTTGAAATCAGGAGAACAGAATGTTAGTTGAAGTAAGCCAGCTGCAGAGAGGGGCTGCATGCTCCCACTCAAGTGTGAAAGCAGAAAATGTGGATCTCATAGAGAAGGGCGGAGAAGCGGGGCAGTGAGAGACTGGACTGCAGGTGCCAAACTACGAGTGAATACACAAATGAATAACATGCATGGGCAAGGATGTGGATAAAGGGGAATAGGCCAACCAGGTGCCCCAACTTTCCCCCTTGCATAAATCCAAAGGAAGTGATGTCAGCACACCCTGGGGATACCTGCACCCCCATGTGTGTTGCTACCGTATCCACAGCAGCCACAACATGTGATCAGCTGTGTCCACTGGTGGGTAATGAAAAAGTATTCATAGTGGGATAGCACTCAACCATCAAAAGAGTGATACCTACAGCTTGCAGAAAAATGGACGCAATCAGAGGATGTTTTGTTACATGAAATAAGTCAGGCACAGAAACACAAATACCTCATGGCCTTTCTCACCCGGATGCTTTTTACAAAGCAGAGTTGAATGTGGAATAGTGAGGGATAAAAGGAGACAGGATAATGTGAACCTAAACATGGTTAAGATAGGACTGAGTTCTAGTGTTCTGCAGCACAGTAGGGTGATTGGGTCCAAGATGACCTATTATATATTTTATGGATAACTAGAAGAAAGGAATTAGAATACTTTAAGGAAATGTTAATTACCCTGATTTGGTCACTACACGTTTTATACACATATATCAAATAATCACACTGCACGCCACATTTATAATGGAGATATTAATAACTAATTAAAACATTTAAATGCAAGCAGATAAGACAAGTACATTCTACTGTACTGTAGTACAGTAATGTGACTAGAGTTTGGGATAATTTATTCTGTATTTCAAAATAGTTAAAAAGAGAGGATTTTGAATGCTTCATCAGAACCTGGGGAAAGGAAGTCAGGTCACCAGGGTGAGCCCTTCCAGGGGCCTTAGGACCCCACAACCCTTGCTACTTGCCTTCTGGCCACCTCGAGCTGAGCAGGCTCCTGTTACCATATGCTCCTCCTAGAAGTGCTGTGCCACCTCTGGGCCAGCACTGTGGGGCAAGGGGGCCATGGGCTAAATGCTCAAGTCTTCGGGTCCCTCTCTTGCAGCAGATGAAAAGCAGTGTGCTCTGTAGGAGCCTCTGCATCTCTGTGAGCAGATGGATATTCTGCTGATGCCAAGGGCAGCCCAATCTTGCTGAAATGCTCCAAACCTGAATTTACAAGGCCTTGGCACATTTTTCTGCTTGGTTCTCTGGATTGTATTGATTTGCAGGATTTCTTCATCCTTGACAAATTCCTTTCAGGTATATGTGTGGCAAACATCTTTCTCCGAGTTGTGGCTTGTCTTTTCATTTTATTAAAGGCACGGTGGTGAACAGAAATTCTAAACCTCATGGAGGGAAGGTATCGGTTTTCTCTCTTCTGGTTTGCATTTTGGATGTCTTACCTAGGAACTCAAGGTTAAGAAGTTACTCAAGTGCTTTAATAAAGCTACTTTCCCAAATTTTCTTCCAAAGATCTTACAGTTTTAATTTAGCATTATCTGTATATGACCAAAATACACCTGGATTTTGTGCATGGTGTGTTTGCTAATGTTTAGTTCAGATGTTTGTTACCTCTGGTCACAAGTAGGACTGGCTGTGCTTGTGCTGTCCCACACTTTCCCTTGCTGGTTTGGGTTTCGTGGTCATGCTGGTCAAGCCTGGGTGCCTATGAGTCAGGATCTCCACCGTGACAGACACACGGGCAATAGACAATGGGGGAGGGTTTGTGCACAGAGTGTCTGTGTGATGGCAGAAGCATAGGGCAGTTGTTTGCAGTGAGTGGCAGCCATCAGACTGGCAGTCCTAGACCTGAAGGAGGAGGGGAGCTGGGACTTAGAAAGAGTCTGGGTGTGTCAGCTGGCCACTGAGTGGAGGGACTAGGGAACAAGGACGGGAATCTCTCCCTTTCTGTCCTCCACTCTGTGTCTGGGAACCTCAATGGACAAGCACAGTGGGATGTCACAGGACCCAGGAGCCCTGATAACAGAATCCAAGCTGCCAGTGTCTGGAGGCAGGGAGAAGGAAAGAAAAGGCGTGTTACCCAGGATTCTGCGGAGACACCAAACCAGCAGGAACAAGTGTGTGTGTGTGTGTGTGTGTGTGTGTGTGTGTGTGTGTGTGTGTGTGTGTGTG